ATACTAAATTTAAACATAAGTTATACTTAGAGTAGGGTAAGCATATCTCACTTACCGAGGGGGGGGGGGTTGGTTAGGAACCGGGCTCTACGGGGGCAGAACTTTAGAGCTGAAATCTCTTCTTCTCGGAGCCTTCTGGCGCTCCGGGTCTTGCCTCTTAGCACTTGGGAAGTACTAGGGCTTGAGAGGGGTTTAGAGAGAGAGAGAGAGAGAAGGGTTGAGGTGTGAGGAAAAAGGGTGAGCTTCGCATTATATTTATAGGATGAAAAATGGCTCAACTCGGCGAGTTTGAGTCGCCAACTCGTCGAGTTGAGTGCCAAGTGTCACCATCTGGTGGCAAGGCGTGGGGAGGAAGCAATAGTCCATATTAAGCCACGTCACCCCCTTCGCAACAGCACCCTTTCGTCTTCTAAATTCTGTAACTTTCGCATACGAGCTCCGTTTTCGATATTCTTTATATCCACGCGTAGGTGGCGACGTACTCTACAACTTTTCTTTTGACCCCATTGGCTAATTCTCGACCGATTTTAAATTTAACAGTATGAGAAGATTACACTGTTAACGACCATGTAGAATTCATAACTTCTACACACGAACTCCGTTTTCTACTATCTTTTTATCGTTGAAATCCTATTAATGAGATCTTCAATTCTTATTTAGGTTGTGTCGGATAAAAATCGATCGATCTAAAATTCGAATTACGGACTGTGCACTGCTATGCTAAATGTTAGAAAAACCATAACTTCCTCATACGAAGTCAGATTTGGACGATCTTTTTATGCACGCTTTCGGTTTAACTCATACTACGACTTTCGTTTAAATCGCTAAGGCTAAAAAGTACTTTATCGCAAACTTACTTTTTACGATTCCCGATGTCGTGTCGGTTTTGACGTAAAACTTCGACAGGTCATAACTTCTTCGTTATAGCTCGGATTTCAACATTCTTTATATGTACGAAACCTTGTGACATATACTATAACTTGGTTAAGATTATTCATTCTAAATAATCTAATATCAAAAAGTCATTTTTGACGCTTATTGTCTCTAAATTGACTAGCCTGAATCTGCGGGCGTTACATATGAGTTATGTCATCTAGGAATGTATACGAGGGGGGCTCCAAAGAAGTGACGGATTTAAAAAAAAAAGTTGTTTCGTCAAAGATAACATGGTGAGATATTATTATTTTGCGAGATGATAGATCAAGACACCGATAACCGTGATGATTAGATGGATATCCTAAGAGTACACACGGGGAAGAGAGTGGGGCTAGTTTATGGGGAGTTATGATGTGAGGGTAGCATAGGCAACCAAAGACTCTTAGGTTTGCATATGGTGGTGAGGTTAGACAAAGGCGAAAGTGTGGGGTTTCATTCTGGATAGTTGTTGAGGGAAGGATATTGAGAAGGTGAGTGGCCATGTGAAGGGCTTCAACCCAATAAGTGGGTTGCATGTGGGCTTGGAAAATGAGTGATCGAATGAAGCTATTGATGGTTCTAAGCATGCACTCAGATTTGCCATTTTGTTGAGAGGTGTGAGGACATGAAAAACGGAATTGTATGCCATGAGTGGCAAAGTGGTCATGAAATTGTTTGTTATTGTATTCACCCCTATTGTCATTGAAAAGCTTTCATGGTTTTGTTGAATTGGTGTTTTATATGGTTTGAGAAAATTAGGAATATGGAGAATACATCAGATTTTTGTTTTAGGGGGGACACCCAAAGATAATGAGAATAGTGGTCTAAAAAAATGACATAGTATCGTAAACCACTAGTATTTGCAATTGGTGAAGTCCATACATGTGAATGAATAATTTCAAAAATATTGGAAACAGAAGTGGATGATAAATCAAACGGAAGTTTAACATGTTTTCCAAGTTGGCATGATTGACAAATAACATCAAAGTTTGTCTTATTACATGAAATAACATTTTTGGAAAGTAAAGATTGAAGAGTTTTATTCCCGGGGTGGCAAGTTGTTGATGCCAAATGGAAGGGCTCGTGGAAACATAAAACTTAAGATGTGGATGGTAGAACTGGGTAGAGAGGTCCACCACCGTCACATCGAATTAGAGGTTGTTTTGTCCTGTAATCCTAGACAGTAAAAAACAAAATTCGTCAAATTCAATAGAACATTTATTTTGACGTGAAAATTTGCAAACGAAAATAAGCTTTTTAATTATGTTTGGAATAATAAAAATATTGTGAAGGTGAAGGGGACGATGCGAGTTATTGAAAGGAAATGACGAGTAACCGGTCTTTGTCACAGAAATATGGGATCCATTACTAACTAAAGTATACTGAGAATTATGATTATGACTAAGGAATTTTAGGATACCTTCGTTTGCATGCACGTGATCCGTTGCTCCCGTGTCCATGATCCATTCATTTGAGGCCGGTTCTTAGAGAGACATGGATGAAAACATTTAATGTAATGCTGTAGCTTGATAGGGCCTAAACCAATCCCAATGAGGTGGAACACTGCCTACAATTTGTTGGGAATTATTTTCCGAATGGGGAGACCAGTGAAGTGAGCCTGATGTGAGTAATGGGGAGATCTGTCGAGGAGTCCATTTTGTTGCTGGACAGGAGCCATATTGGGCTAGAAGTTGTTGGGCTGACTTTGTCCCCTGATTTGGGTTGGTGGAGGTATGAAAACCCATCCATACAACTGATTTGTTGACATTGATTTTGAAGGCAACGAGGAAAGAAAAAGAGGCTGATGGTCAGACTGTTTTTGGCCTGGATGAGTCGACTGCTGTCGGCGGTCTTTTCGGCGGTCAAGTCGTCGGCTGGTGTGATGTTCGCCGACGTGAAGAATTGTTGGAAAATAGTCGTTTTCCATGTGAGAGGAAACTGGAGATGTGCGAGTTTGATTGATGCGAGATTCTTCCAAAGCTGGCATGGAACGAGTCTCCGAAAAAGAGGGAAAAGGGTTCCGGTAACGGATCACTGTTGCAATATTTTAATACCGAGAGGAGAGTCCATTGATGGTGTAAACAACGAGGTGTTTATCTGAGATTTTGAAGTTGGCATCCAAGTTTTTTCGAGGAGGTCGACGATGTTTTGAATCTTGGTGCAATAAGCTTGAACAAAGAGATCACCCATTGAGATGGAGCGAATTTCACTGTCGAGTTGCATGATACGAGAATTTTTATTGTCTCGAAAGAGTTTCTCAATATTCAGCCATAGTTGTCGAGCCGAGTTTCTTGGTTTGATGACAGTGTTGACAAGATTATGAGAGATTGTCATGTATATCAAGTATGGACATCAACATCCACTTTCTTCCATTGATGATCGGCGGACGGAGCAGTGGGAGCATCGAGCGTTGCATCAATGTGGTCAAGCGTACCTAAGCTTCACAGTGAGTTGTGAAGAATTCTCTCCACGTATCATAATTGTGGCAATCGAGATCAAGAAGTATTGGAATTTGTGCTTCGATGTTTGTGACAACAAAGGCTTTATGGTGGTGTGGAGTTTGATGATCATATCATTTACGAGAAGACAAGAGGTAGGAACGTGAGAAGCAATTAGGGTTTACATGCGACACTTTTACTACCGTGACTCCGTGAGGAAGAAGAAGAGAGTGCACAGGAAAGATATGAATTTTAAGAGGGAAATACCATGTTTTGTAATCTGTTTCCTTGTTGTTGATCATTGACGGAGTACACAATATATAACCATATATACACACGAATTTGGGCCTAACGTAAATATCAACATGGGCTAGCTATGAGCTACACTAAATACATACATATATACTAACATTAATATGTTTTGCTTTTTTCCTTTTCATAATTTATATATTTTAATATATCTAGAAAAATATCTATCAGTGTTCTTTTAGACATTTTATTAAGGATAACAAGTTATTTAAAACATTTCGTTGTAAAGAGACGTGATAACAAATATATTTGATATACATCCATTAAATTTTTTTTAATATAATTCAGAAGAATAAATTTGCATATGGTTAAATACAACTACCGAAGAAGACTGTACATATCTAATAGACAAAACTGCAAAAATGGTCCATGTGGTATGTATTTTTTTGGGGTTTTATTCCAAATCCCGACTTTTTTGGATTCGTGGTCCTTTTGGCCATGTTTGTACGTAAATTTGGTCCCTCGTAAAATTGAAATGACTATAATGCCCTTTCTGATATATTTTTATGTTTTTTTATTTAATTTAAATGAAAAAGAAAATAAATAATTAATTTGGGCCCACATCTCTCTCTCTCTCTCTCTCTCTCTCTCTCTCTCTCTCTCTCTCTCTCTCTCTCTCTCTCTCTGATGTTATCCATCCTAAACACATCTTCTTCTTTCTCAAGAACACTCAAGAACAAGTCTAACACCACCACCATTGTTCTACCACCGTCCGCCACCGCCACAGCCGCCACCTCCATCTCCACCTAAATCATATCAGATGAATAAAAACACACACAAATAAATCAGATGAACACACATATACACACGAAATCAGATGAACACACACATGAAATCTGATGAACACACATATCAATACAAACATCTGATGAACAGACATGAAATCTGATGAACACACACTGATCAACACAAACATCCATCAATTTTTCAACAGATTTAACGCAAACACACACACATACATAGATTAAACACACACACACACACAAACTCGAACAAGACCAATGATTTGGTGAAGATGACATAGAATCAGAACGCCACCACCACCACGACCTCGAAAACAAGTTTAGAAAGACGAAGGAAGGCGTAGAAACCCTTCTTCGGAGTTCATATCTATCTCGTCGCCATCTTCCTCGGCAAACCCTAGCCGCCGCCACCTTGGTTTCTCTCCTTCGCCATCGATTTTTGACCACAACCACAACCACCATATTCATATCACCTTCTCATGAGACTAGATCTTAACGACGACGGGGGGAACAAGTCTAAACCCTAACAGCCGCCACCTTCGACCCCTGCTAGATCTATTCGTCAACGGTAACGACTTTGCTTGTACCACCAGATATGTTCGTTAATGATGATAAGAGGGCGACGATGTTTGGGTTTGAAGATTCGACAACGACCAGCTGGTCGTCGCCGTCTGTCGTTGAGAGTGACGGTAACGTAACTCGATGAACTTGGTGAAGGAAGTTCATGGAAGTTCTGGTAACTGGGATAACGATGAAACTTTGTATCAAAATCAGGAGATCAAAGAGGGGAATCAACGAATTATTTCTTCAGATTCCACTTAGTCTTCGTCTCTATACGACAATGGGTTCGCCGGGGGTTTCAAGCTCTGCCCAGTTGAAGAAGATAATCGCAATAGCTGGTGCTCGAACTAGAAGATGATGGGGTTCCAGATGAACTCTTCTTTATTCATATTTTCCAATTAAAACAAACAAAATCTAGAAAGAAAATAATAAAAAAAAAACAAAACGAAAATATGGCTGTGTTTTACAGATCTGAAGTGACAAGAAACAAAGAAGAAATAGAAAGGGAAGAACAATCAAGAATTTGCTGTGAAAATTAAGGAAGCTAAAAATGGAGATATTTTGGTTTCTTTGATTTGAGAGAGAGACAGAAATTGTTATTTTTTTAATTATTAAAATAAATAAATTAGTATTAGATTTAAAAAGAAATGAAAGAAAAATGGTAAATAAATACACCAAGAGTATTATAGTCATTTCACTATTTAGAGGGACAAAAAACGCAGCGAAACTAGCTAAAAAGGACCACTAATCCAAAAAAGTCGGGGTTTGGACTGAAACCCCAAAAAAATGCATACCACAGGGACCATTTTTGCAATTTTGTCAATCTAATATTTAAAATATTCTACTACCATTTATCACAAAAAACATCTTTTAATACAAAAATCAAGAAATAAAAATAGTGGTATAACTCTACTTTTTAAAATTGTTTGTAATTAAAATATTTGATCGGGCTTAAAACATTATAGTAGCTAAAATAAGGGGAAGTGATTCGTACACAACAGTTTTTTGCCATACACAACAATTTATGCATTATAGAGTTGTACAATACAACATTTTAAAGCATCAATTGTTGTGTATGGGGAAAAATTGTTGTGTACAAATCAGCTCCCTAAAATAAGTGATTAAGTCCAAAAGTGAATCCGTAAAATTTGGTATTTTATTTCTTAAAACCTGATTAAGTATAATCCAACAAACAACTACAAAAATGGAAATTAATGGTCTACGAAAAAAAGTAGTCTAAGAAAACTTGAAATAACAATAATTAAAGAGAAATTAAATATCCTCTTACTTTGTATTCCTACAAATCGTACTACCCAATTAAATAATGACACGTGTAACATTTAATGTTCATTTAATGATATTTTAATGTATACTACTATGACACATGTTATCATTTAATTGGGTAGGAGGACTTGGAGCAAAATTAGGAGGATATTTAATTTCTCGTAATTAAATTCCTAGCTTGTCCAATGGATAAGGGTGCAAATATCATAAATATGGGATATGTTTATAAGCATTGCCAATTGTACAGTACAATATGATAAGCTATGGCAAAATCAACGTTAGGAGAGTTAATTGAAAATCTGGAAAGTTGATATAGGCATACTCCTTACCTTCTGCATTTCATGATTTCATCCTCCCAGAAAGAGAGAGAAAGAAGGAGAAAGAACCATACTTGAGAAAGGAGTCTGCATCACTTCGCCACTCCGATTCTGCATCTTTCACAAAAATGACGCTCTCGCTCTCGTTAACAGCTCCGTTCCGCCGAACGACTGCCGGCAGCCCGTCGGGGTTTTCTAATCCACCATTGCTTCGCAGTCGATCACTTCAGTTGAACAAGTTTCGCTCCACCAAGTCAGTGTCTGGACTTAGAGTTTTCGCCAAACAGAACGAGTTTCCGGCTATCTGGCGACCTGATTCGAAGGGTTTTTTCGGGAAACACGGAGGAATTCACTGTCCAGACATCATGTTGTCGGCTCTCTCCGAACTCGAATCGGCTTACGAAAGCCTCTCTTTTGACTCTGATTTTCAGGTATAACCTTGAAAATTGTTAACTCTCATTTATTTATGCATCAGCTTGATTCATATCATTAGTTGTAGAAAAATTCTATAAAACGCCATGCATTATTTTGAACAGTAAATCGCAAATTTGAAAATGTTGGGGTTGAAACACACTTTTATTCAGAACTAGAACAAAAGAGAAGAGCTTACACACTCAATATTACAAGAAAAAGAAACAACCCTCTAATACTCACTCTAAGTATTACACACTACAGTCTTTGTTTTGTGGTGTCTTACAACTGAGGTTAGAGCCTCTATTTATACTTAAACAAGCCTACAATTACTACTGCTACCATTTATTGTGTTCATTATGTGAACATACGAAGTTGCCATTTGAGTTCTTATTGTCAACAAAGGAGGGATTCATTTGTCAACTAAAGAGGGTGGTACAGCTACTCATGGCAGGTTCACACCCAAGTAGGTTTACACTCACATTCTCCCCCTTAAACCTAACTTGGCTCGAGATTCGTCACTCCGATCATGTTTCGCATTTCACCATGTTTCACGTATGCTAAAGCCTTTGTAAAGATGTCCGCCCGTTGATCCTTCGAGTTGACATATTCCACTATAATTTGCCCACGTTCAACACATTCTCGTATGAAGTGATAACGAATGTCAATGTGTTTGCTTCGACCATGAAACACAGGATTTTTCATCAATGCGATTGCTGACTTGTTATCGACATATAAGGTGATAGGCATAATATGATGTCCCGTGAGCTCCTTCACGAGATTAGCAAGCCAAATGGCTTGACATGCTGCTGTTGTAGCTGCCATGAACTCGGCTTCACACGTGGACAAAGCAACAGTCTTTTGCTTTTGGGATTGCCAAGTTATCGCATTCCTTCCCAGATAGAAAATCATTCCACTTGTGCTCTTGCTATCAACAGGGTCACCTCCAAGATCACTATCGGTAAAACCAACCAAATCTTTAATTTCACGACCTCTTCCATAGTTGATTCCATAATCAACAGTTCCTTTTACGTATCGCAAGATGTGTTTCACAACTTGGAAATGCAAAGTGGTTGGTTCCTCCATGAAACGACTTGCAATTCCAACCGAAAATGACAGGTCTGGTCGAGTGTGAGTCAAGTACCTTAAACAACCTACCACTCGCCTATATTCAGTTGGATCAACTTTTTCACCATCTTCATCCTTCTTAACCTTCAACTTAGGTTCCATTGGTGACGTTGTCGGATTGCAATCCAGCAACCCAAATTGCTCTAAAATCTTCTTTGCATAAGCCGTTTGTCGCAAAGATATTCCCCACTTCTTTTGCGAAACTTCGATTCCAAGGTAGTAAGAAAGTAATCCCAAGTCACTCATTTCGAATTCTTTCTTCATTTGTTCTTTGAATTCGACAACATCATTAGTGTTCGACCCGGTAATGATCAAGTCATCAACATAGACACCAACAATAAGAATTTTGTCTTTTGAGTTCCTTTTGTAAACAGTTGGGTCTTGTGAACTTTTTGTAAAACCAAGCCTTTTTAAGCTTTTATCCAAACGAATGTTCCAAGCTCGAGGAGCTTGTCGTAGACCATAAAGAGCTTTATAAAGCTTGAACACCTTGTGACTGTTTGCTTTATCAACATATCCTTCTGGTTGGGTGACATAAACCTCCTCTTTGAGATCTCCATTGAGAAAAGCCGATTTGACATCGAGATGGTGGACAACCCACCCATGTTGAGCTGCTAAGGCAAGAATGAGCCTTACGGTGTCAAGTCGTGCTACCGGTGCAAAAACTTCATCAAAGTCGACTCCTTCCTTTTGTACAAATCCTTTTGCTACAAGTCGAGCTTTATGCTTCACCACTTTTCCCAAGTTGTCTTTCTTCACTTTAAACACCCATTTCAAACCGATTGCTTTGTGTCCGGGTGGCAAATCGGTAAGTTGCCATGTCTTGTTCTTCTCGATTGCATCCAACTCTGTTTGCATAGCCTCCTGCCACGCCTTAGAGGTTACCGCCTCTTTAAAATTCAAGGGTTGATCCGCTGCAATCATCAACAATTCTCCGGGTTCAAGGAACACATTTTCGGTTTCAGAATAAATATCGGTTAACAGACGCAATCCCCTTGGCCCAATCTCACTAGAAGGGCTTTCCATATTGGGCGAGGTTGAAGAAAACGGGGCTGAGACAGGAGTATGTGGAGCTGGTTCAGGCTCGTCAAATTCAGCATATGGTTGTCCAACTTGGATAGCATCGATTCCTGGGCTGTTTGGTTGTTCCGGATTGATTTTGGGGTCATTTTGAGGTGTTTCGAGGTGTATTTGGGGTTGTGGTTCAATTATGGTAAAGGTCTTAGGAGTCGCCATCTCTTCTTCTTTGTTTTTGTACCAATTCCATTCTTCTTTTTCGTCAAAAACAACATCGCGACTAACTCGCAACTTTCGGTCTTGCGGATCAAACAAACGGTTGCCTTTAGTTCCATCTTCCACACCTAAATACACCATCTTCTTACTTCGATCATCAAGCTTCTTCAAGTGACAACCTACAAGTTTAGCAAAAGCAACACAACCAAAAACTTTTAGATGTTCAAGGTTGGGCTTTTTGCCAAACCACGTTTCATAAGGCGTCTTGTCGGGAAGTACTTTTGTTGGCAGGCGGTTGAGAAGATAAACTGCATGTCTAACCGCTTCTCCCCAAAACTCTCCCGGAACATTTCTACCTTTGAGCAGACTTCTTGCCATGTCCATAACGGTCCGATTTCGCCTTTCTACAACTCCGTTCTGTTGAGGCGAATATGGTGTCGTAAGATGCCTTTGAATACCATTTTCTTCACAAAATAATGAGAATTCTTTTGAAGTGAACTCTCCCCCTCGGTCCGTTCGAAGTGTCTTTATTTTATAACCCGAATTCTTTTCAACCATCAACTTGAACCGTTTGAAAGCGCTCAAGGCTTGAGACTTCTCCGATAGCATGTAAACCCACATCCACCGGCTAAAATCGTCTACTAAAAGGAGAAAATATTTACTCCCTCCAACAGACGTAGGTGTGATCGGACCACATAAGTCCGCATGAACAAGTTGTAGAGGTTTTTGAGCCCGAAAAACTGCATGATCCGGGAAAGGAATTCGGGTTTGTTTGGAAAGAACGCACCCTTCACATACTTGGTTTGGGTGCTCAATCTTTGGAACTCCGATTGCCATATTCTTTTCGGACAACTTCTTTAAGGCGAGAAAGTTAACATGACCGAGTCTAGAATGCCATATCCAAGCTGGTTCGTCTTTTGTTGCTAAAAGACAAGTCGGTCTACCGGTCCTTAAAGGAGTTTTATATAACCGGTTTGGGGATCGTTTAACTCTCAAAAGTAGAGTTTTGTTTCTGTCAAACAATGTCAGATCCGACCCATCCATTATGACCCGACTCCCTTCCTCCGTCATTTGTCCAAGACTAATAATATTGTTTTTTAGACTTGGAATGAAATATACCTCATTAAGGAGTCTTTGGTCGCCATTTTTGCTATCGAATAAAATCGACCCTTTTCCCAAAATAGCGACGGTCGAACCATCCCCAAATTTCACATGGCCCGTAACGTGCTCATCTAGTTCGCGAAACTTTGAGCGGTCTCCAGTCATGTGATTGCTAGCACCGTTGTCGAGATACCATACCTCAGACTCGACTCGACTTTCTCCCGATGCAAGAAGATTAACACAAATCTTCTCTCTTAGAGACACTTTTTTGTGTGCATATTCTTGTGAGGTTGCCATCATTAAAATAGACTCTTCTTCATTGGCTTGAGTGAGGTTTGCCTCCTCACCTCGATTCTTGTTTGGACACTCCGAAGCATAATGACCAAATTGTTCACAAGTAAAGCATTTGACTTTACTTTTATCCTTTCGAGAAGGATTATGGTCATTCCGATTTGTATTGTACTCGCGTCCACCTCCTTGGCCACGTCCACGACCTCGGCCTCGTCCCCGACCTCGGTTACCATGTCCTCCTCGTCCTCTTGAAGTGTTTGACGAGTTTCTCTCGCCAGTTTGCTTCGAACGAGATGCCCACTCGGCATGTGTAAGCAATAGAGAAGGTCCTTCTTCTTTTTCTCCATAGCTTCGAAGTCTCTCTTCATGGGTCTTAAGACGACCCACAACTTCTTCCACCGTCATATTCTTCAAATCTCCGAATTGCTCGATCGATGTTACGATTTGTATAAATCGTATCGGTACGGCTCGCAAAAACTTCTTCACAACCGTAATTTCTTCAATCTTTTCACCTAGAGATCGAATACCGGTTACGATAGTATTCAATCTCATGGAAAAATCATCTACCGATTCACTGTCTTTCATCCGGATCACCTCGAAGTCACTTCTCAAGGTTTGAGCTTTAGCCTCCTTGACCCGATCGGCTCCCATGTGCATCATCTTGAGCGTTTCCCATGCTTCTTTAGCTGTGTCCTTCTCAGCTAACATCAGAAGTACGTCCTCTGGAATTGCTTGATAAATAGCCGCAAGAGCCATCCGATCTTTACGTTCGTCCGTTTCTGCATTTTTAATTACATCCCATACTCCTTGTGCTTGTAAATTCACTCGCATTTTTATGGCCCACACCGCGTAGTTCATCTTCGTGAGCATTGGATAGTGTAACGTAACGCTACCGTCTTTCCCGGTCCTTTGAAAACTTTCAACTCCGGCTTGAGAAGATGACGAGGTTGGTGTAGTCATTCTTGGCATATACTTGGGCATACACGAGTAAGAATATATATATATATATATATATATATATATATATATATATATATATATATATTTTGAAGTATGGGGACCAATATGAACTTTTCAGAAGTTCAGGGGGCAAACAGAACTTTTACAGAAGTAAAACAGGGGCTAAATTGAAATTTTTCTGAAAAACGGGACTTTCCGGAAGAACAGGGGCTAAACTGCAATTTCCAGAACTTTGGTCAGCTGCTGACGTCACTGCTGATGTCACTGCTACAGTGCTGCTACAATACCTGCTACAGTGTCGTCTTCTCCGGCG